TCTAAGGGCTGTAAGAGTGAACCAGAGCTGGTGCCAAAGCTGAGGGCTTCAGATTTGAAGTGGCAGCAATAAGTCTTTTTTTCTGTGTCCTGTTATCTGGAAAACACTGAATAATTTTACAAGGGAAATTTAAAAAAGATAAATCACAATAAGCTTTCTAAAACACAAAATCTTCTAAAATTAAGAAAATCTAAGCTCTACTCATTACACCGCATAGAACTATTTCTCAGGCTTCTAATGTTCACTGCAGGCTTCAGATGATCAGCTTTTGCGTATGGATTTGCTTTAAATTATATATCAATTTATCTGTATTTTTTATATATAAATATCCAACCTTATACATGGGTTATATATAAGGCCTACCTGCAAGAAGGCCCAATATTTACAAATTAAAATCAAGACCATCCCCATAATTTTAAATCACTAAAGTAAAGCTCACAGACATCTTCTACAGATCAAATAGGACTCACAGCTGATTTAATTCCAATTCTGTTGCTGCCAAACACCCAGAATTCCAGAATCAGTAAACTGGGTATCCAATTATCCCTCCTATAGTTTGAGGGGCTGCATTTAAATGAAGATTATAAAAATCAAATACACCTGAAATGCCTTTTTGAGCACTGAAAGTGATAGCTGCTCAGGGAAAGTGCTTCTAAAAAAATTAAGTCTTACTAAGTGTGGTTTTAATAAAGATTTAAAGATGGACAAGTTTTCTGCTTGTTGTCCCTCACTCCCACCCCACAACAAAGTGACTAAAACACCCAAAAAAGGCCAAACACTGAGAAACAAAGATTTTCGGTAAGAACAGCTTTTGCTTGAGCAGGATGAGAATGGGGGAAGGAAAAAACCAGAAAGAAAGAAAGAAACAACCCAAACCCAACCCAACCAATTTTTCAAGTTAAAAGCATTATGAGAACCTTGCCTCTCCAAGGGGAGCAGACTCTGCACAAAGAACATGGACATGCTGAACACCCCCATTCGTGGTTCACTCCCTGCAGCCCCTCAGAACCAGCACAGCCAGAGGCCTCTTCCTTCCCTGTCACTTCTGGGACAAAGTCACCTCCCCCAGGTATGCACTGACCAGCACATCCACCTTGGGTTCCAGCTGCAGAATCCCTGCCTTTTCAGTTTCTATTTTCCCAGAGAAGCTGTGGCTGCCCCATCCCTGGAAGTGTCCAAGGCCACGCTGGACGGGGCTCAGAGCACCCTGGGACAGTGGAAGGTGTCCCTGCCATGGCAGGGGGTGGAATGAGATGGGCTTGAAGGTCCCTTCCAACCCAAACCATTCTTGAACACTTCCAGGGATGGGGAGTCCACAACTCCATATTACCACATTAATCCTCAGTGAACAACAGGCCAACAAACTGCAGTTTCACACAGTAACAGAATTTATATTTAATGCCTGGAATGCAATTTTGAAAAGGTGAGATCAATTAAAAGACCCATTCATCAAACTAGGGACAGAAAACAATGCTTGCAAGTAGATCTTTAGATGGAAGTCTCAAAGAAGTAAGTCCTGCTCCTCAGTAATCTCAATCCCAATGCCCAATTCCCAAATGATTTCCCAACATATTGCTTCCAAAGCAGAAAAAGCACTGAAACATTTATTACAAAGAAGGTCGAATAAAAATCTCTCATCGTAATTTTACCATCACAACTAGGAGGAAAAGGAGTGAAGGAAAATGGCTACAAATACTCCTGACTGAAGTTTCTGCCCAGCACAGAAACCTGATGTGTTTGGTGCATTCAGCAATATAACCTGTCTCTAACAACACCAACCCAAAGAGCATTCCCAGGGCAACAAAATAATGTTTGAACCACTTTGGAGATTGAAAGATTTATTTTTTTTTTTTCACTTCAAAGCCAATCCAAGGGTTTATTCAGGCTCTGGCCTCTTTGCCCAGTCGGACAATGAACAAGAGCCCAGCTCAGCTCCCAGAGAAAGACTGGCAGTCTCGGGGCTGGTACCACGTCCAGGGGCACTCCAGCTGTGCCAGGCAGCGTTTCCCTGTGGGAAGAGGCACAAAGAGATGCTCAAAGTGCTGTATCCATGGATGTGATAGATCAGCCCTGGCTGCCTTCAGTCCTGTTGCACATCTCATCCTGCTGGCACAGGAGTTTTCTTTTATCTAAAGCTTTTAAAGCTTTAATGTAAATATTAATGCAAATATTACCTTTGATGGGACTGGATTCCTCTGCATGGAGCACAGAATACTCACTGATTTAGCCACAGATTTGTTCTCAAAGTCAAACCTTTAAGGATTTCCTGTCAGGTGATGCACTACTTGATTCAGCCCTTTAAGGTGGGCTATATATGAGAGTACTACAAGCTGTAGTCACAGTCTGTAGAATTATTTTTTATCACATTTCTGGTCATAATCAAATAGATTGAATTCCTGCTCTACTCCTGCAGGATTATTGCTCCCATATAAACTCAGCCTCTTCGGTTTTCATTCCTTACTTATTTCAACAAGTAAAGCAAAACCTGTATTTATTTAATGCTGGACAGGTTCCACTTTTTCTTGTGACTTGATCTAGAATAAATATAAAAGATGCAAAGGGGTTGGGATTTATTATTATTTCTTCCTATTGAATATTTAAGCCAGCAACCATTTCCTTAAAAATTTCTCCTGGCCATGTCCCAGTGCATGTAAGAGCTTGTAAAAAACAATACAAATTTTCAAATTAATTTCTCTAAGACTCCATATATTTGTATTGTTGCTGAGTATCATAACACTCCTACAGAAAAAGGAAAACAGAAGATGGAAGGGGAGAGGAAAACTGACTTCAAACAAATAAACTAGAGCTTGCAAAAAGGAGGAAACATTGTTCTTCTCCCAATACCTCTTCAGAGAAAGGCCGATGAAATTAAGCAATATATACAACCCATGCATTGCAACAGAAGTTTCAAATGCCATTTTAACATAAGGCAAGTAAAAAAAAAGGGAAATCCAATAAAATTATAAAGGAAAAGAAAGCCCATTGCATATTACTGAGAGACTAATTTCATTTTCATATTTGCCTCAGAGTCCCAAGCTCCTGCATGATGTGGCCTCTGAGTGTACAGAGGGATTGTTTCAGTATTTTCCAGCATCCTCAACAGCCTGTGTTCCTCCACCTTCTCCCTTGCACATTGTTCTTCAAACTTGCAGCTAATCAAAAGAAATTTCTGGGATCTTATCTTCCATTTTTAGTGTTGGCCTAGTTAAAGACACAAAGAGAACCCAGCAATAGTGAGTCGTGCTTCTCTTTTTGTTTTTGAAAGAGTAAAGGGAAAGAATCTCTCTGTTCCTCCCTTGATGGGATTATTGAGGCAAACAGGCTCTTCAGAGCTGTTGGTTTAATGGATGGAGGGAAAGGAGATGGGGAAGAGGCAACCTGGAGCTCAGATGGATTTGCTGCAGCACCAAAACACACCCCCAGCCATGGCATTCCATGGCAGCCCTGGTGGGACACCCTTCCTGTGCCGGAACTCTGCGCTCCTGCCCCTGCGTTTGGTTGGATCGGTGAATTCTCTGTGTGTGCCCCCTGGACAGGCAGGGTTCTGCCACACTCACCCTTTATTCAGTAACTCCACAAGCTCCAGTTTGCAGAGGCAGGGCAGGGATTGTCAGAGCCCTCAGTTCCATCCCACCATCAGTTCCCCCGGGATGGAGGAGGAATGGCTGGGGAACCTCGGCAGAGCAGGTGGAGGCAGCTGAGCTGGAGCAGCTGCATCTCCAGCAGCAGGACCTGCCCCAGGAGAGAAGGGAAGACCTCCCTCTGCCTGGATTTCCACTGCCCTCCAGCTTCCTTACCTTGCCCATACAACTGGTTTTTTCTTTATGCCAATGTGCATCCAAGACAACTGAAATAGAGACTGAGTGACAAATTAAACAAGAACACAAAAATTTAGGCATTCCATTGGGAATTACAGATTCCATCCCCATGGGATTTCTCCTGGCTCAGTGTACACTGCATATAAAGCAGTCTGCATCCTAATTTTTGGGCAAACTCACAATAACTTGAGGCTTCTAATATTCTGGAAGAGACCAAACTGAAGCTTCTACAGAGTGATTTGCTGAGCTCTTCCCAGTATCCTGAACTGCAGAGAGGCTGAGTGTTCCCAAATAACCCCAAGTGAATGGGCCCCGAACACTGCCAGGTGTCTCTTTTGCAGACAGTGCTGCCAAGGAAGCCAAGGACTGTTGTCATGTCCAAACGATTCTGCAAATCATCAGAAACTGGAGAAAATAAAGCCCTGGACTTCCAAACCTATCACGAGTGAAGGGACGGGGGGTAAATGAGGTGACATCAGCTCTGCTGAGGACAGGACACACTTCACTCCTGGCACAGAAAACCCCTGAGCAGCACCCACAGCTCCACTGCAGCTGTGCCCACCCCCTGTGCTTCCTGCTCCAACTTCAGTGGTCTAACAAATGCGTTCATTACAATTGTAAATGAACCTGCACTGGAAGGAGGAAGAAATGATGTGCAGGTACCCTTGGCAGCAGCCTGAAAGGACAGGCATTTCAATTATGGGATCATTTTAACAAGGCAGCTTTCCTGCCTCTGAAGCCTTTCTGCAGCTTATCCCATGTGCTCAGCACTTCTATTTTTACAGACCTGACTCACCTCACAACTGCCTCACACAAGGTACCTCTTCCACCTTCTCTTAAAAAAAAATGCCAACAATAAAGGGAAAACATGAGGAAAATCAGATTTTTTTCTCGGAGTGCAAGGTTGGGAATGCTCAGAACTGACATGGGGTCTTGGGTGAGCACAAAGGGGAACTGCCGGACCAGCAAGTGTCATCCTGATCCCACATGACACTGCCAGATGCCCAGCAGCAGGAAGGAGATCCAAGAGCTCATCTGCATGCAGAACATCACTGCAAAGGTGTCTTCAGTGGGCAGACCTGTCATTTTATTTTACTGTAGTCCCCTTAAGTGAATTGTTATGTTGCTTTTATTGTTATGTTGAGGACATTCCCTTAAACAAGAAAAATAAGGAAGAAAGCAGTGGAGCTTGGCTGGAAGGTTCGGCAGACATGGCCCCAGAGATCTCTCGTCTAAAGTCTGGGAAAATACAGCTCTAATCTCCTCTGGTACTCCTTAGCCTGGAAAAGAGAAACACTTGCAGATGGTGTTCCTGAGGGAGTGTGGGAGGCTGGGAAAAATAACTTCTCCAGATTCAGCCTCTCCACAATGCCTGAAGGTAAAAGGAATCACATTTCTTTCGCTTCTTCAAATTCTACATTTTTTAAGGGGTTTTTGTTCACTCCTGGTTGCTTCCTTCTCTGAGTTCCCTGGAATCCCACTCACATGCTCTCTCTCCACTACACCTCATCCCTTCAGTGAGGCAACACCATTCCAAGGCTGGAGCCACCTTGTCACCAAAATCACCCAGTCTTCACTTCCCAACATCTCTTCCCTCCTAAGAGTTCCTCATCAACTGTTCCAGGAGGGGATTTTGCCTCTTTTCTCACCTTTGTAACATGGTCAGAACAGCCAGACTGACTCACAGGCACCAAAATGGACATTCCAGCTAATCAGGGATTCTTGGATACTTGTCCCTCCTCCCACAGAAGGAGCTTCAGGCTTCAACTTCCTACATTGAAACTGGGAGTCACAAAAGCCATAATGGCTTAGGAACAACGTACAGGTTTGTTCTCAATACCAGCAATAAGGCTGATTTGATCAACAACATCACTTCCCACCAGAAAGCAGTGAAGAAATCAGCAGAAAACTTTCCCACCCTGTCTTCTGTCACGTCCCAGCTCTGTCGGTTCATCGCAGATGGTAAATCATCTACAGCCATGCCTTTGGTTCAGAATTATTCAGTGGCCACTTCATGCTGGTACTCTAGTAAGAAAAAAATGTTTTGCTTGTTTGTTTTAAAGCTCAGTACAAAAAGATCAGCGTCCTCCTTGATGGTAATGCCCCAACTAGCAAAGCTTAATGGCAACAACCTCCGCTGGATTCTCCCCAGATTCCTCAGCTGTCAGTAATCTCATGTGAACCACTGGGAAAGGAGTGAGATCCAGCTTGTCCTGAACTGAAGTGTCAGCATTGCTCAGGAGCCCTTTGCAGTTAATGTGTGCTCAAGTGCTTCCGTGAAGGGAAGGGCCAAGACAAACCTCCTGAACACAAACCACTTCTCCTGCGCTCTGTGTGTCACTGAAAAAATAGTTTTCTTGGATGCTGAGACTCCACCATGAGCCTCCCCTGGAAGAAGCCAAGACAAGCTCTCCTGTTTCAGTCCTGCCAGGTGCAGTTGCTAAGCACATTTTTAAGGCTATTCAGCCACAGTTACATCACTCAACAACCCAAATGGACACCAAAGCAGCCCAGACACACAGGAATAGGAAGGAAATGCTGTCCAGCAACTTTCACTCCCACCCTTTTCAGCAGGATGGAGTGAAATTAAAGCTGAAATCATCAGAGCTATTAAGGAACCAGGAGGTGCTGCAGGTACCTGCAGACTCACTCAGAACACAGGACTGTTGGGGTACAGGATGACCTTGAGTTTCCTCCTGAGGTGTAAATCCAATTTAACTGTGCCTCACCTCACACCCACCCCCAAATTCCCAGTGCCATCACTGAAATGTCCTTATTGCACTTGGTTTCAATGGACAAGTCCTGTGAATGGAGCTGGAATCAGGGCAGAGCTGCTGAGCACAATTCCTGCTTTGCTGTTGCCTAATTAGATGGTGCTGACTAATCCTCTGCATTACTGTCAGTGAAAGGAACCCAGCAGGAGCCTTAGGAGGGGTTTTAGAGAGCTAAAAGCCATGAATGATTTCCATTTACAGGGAGCATTTCTCTTGCACAAGTTGCTTCCATCAAGTGTTCCTGTCTGAGGTTACATTCCCCACAAAATGTCTCTGTGGCCTCCAGCGTTACAAGTTCAAAGAACAGCAGAAGGAAACAGAAAAGATGAAGAGAAAAAAAGCTGGATGCATTCCCCTGAAAAATTTTCCATATTGAAACGACTACAATGAGAAATGATTTGCAGGACTGGCCTCTTGACCTACCATTAAGTAAACAGGGGCTGTAAATTTTTGTTCTCCTCTTGCAAAAATGCAGCCCTGTGGTTAATGTCACCATGATACAGCCCCTGACCAAATTCACTGAGAACAGCTCACGGGTCTACAGTGGGATGTGCACCAGCAGCCCTTGCAAAGCTCAACCCCACACTTGTGGAGTCCTGTTGGGCTGAGAGAACCTCAACAAACTTAAAACACTGCCAGAAACTTAAAACGAAAATGTTCTAATTACTTTAATTTCCTCGGAGATCCTGCTAAACCACAGCTGCAGAAGACACAAGTTGCATAGAAAGAGGCCCCAGACTGAAATATTCAAGGATAGGAAATCTTTTCTAATCAATCTTTTTTGAAGCTTTAACAGGGTGACATCATCACCCCTCTCATTCCCTGAGCTGGTTCCTTTGGCAAGGAGAATTCAGCTCCTCAAGCCTTTTTTTTCTCCAAGCTCAGCTTGGTAAGTCACGATCAACAGAAAACATAAAAGTGCTACTGGAAAGACAGGGGAAAACAATGGAAGCTCCATCAGTCAGGGTCTAACAGTGCTCCAGAGTCAAGTGGAGTATGTAAGGCATTCTCCATTGTCATGGAATTATAGAACATCCTGAGCTGGGAGGGACCCACAGGGATCATCAGGCCAACTCCTGACCCTGCCTAGACACCCCCAACAATCCAAGTGTTGGCCAAACACTCCTGCAGCTCTGGCACTTCACAGCACAGGGGGATGGCACCAAAGGAAAACAAAAGCACTTAGCACTTGGGGAGTTTTCCAGAAAACCTGACATAGAACAATCTCAATCCTCCAGTGAGTCCCTTTGCTGAGGCAGTTTCCCCAAATCATCCAAAGGTGGACAGCACTCAGTTTAATTTGCAGCCTGAACTCTGCTGGGACTTGAGATCAGATCAAACCCCTCCCCACTGCCAGCCCTGGGTGGGCAGGGCTGAGGAACACTCACAAGTCCTCATGGGGATGGACCTGGCAGGAATTCAGTCCAGTCAGGAGCCTCCTGGACCAGCTCAGACCCACGTTAAAGTCTGGCTGCTGGCAGGGGTGGGCCTGAGGTTCCTGTCTGTGCATCCTGAGCTCTATTGAAAACCACCTCTTGGGAAAGGACAGTTTTTGAATCACAGTTTTACCCTTCCAAATAACTCCCCCCAAAGAGCCTGCTGCCCAACAGCACAGCTGCTGCCCAAGGCCAGCAGTGCTCCTCAGCTCAGGGACAAACCCAGGGCAGCACAAGGGCCTCCCCAGTTCCTTCCCCACGGCTGATCCCCGGGAGCAGTGGGGCTCCAGAGCTCACCCAGGGCAGGGTTTTATGTCTCAGCCTTCCCTGAACATGCAGATCAGCTGATGACCTGCTGTTACCAATGGTTATGCAGAAATTGGGCTTAGTGACAGAGGAGAGAAGAGCAGGAAAAAGGCAGTTGGGTTTTCAGAGCTCCCAGGTTTGTGCAAGGGAAAAAATAACCCCCCCTTCTATTTACACTGCACCACACCTGGTCAGGAAGCAAAATGACCAAGCTCAAGTCCACATTGTTATTTTCACAGCACATCTGCTTTAAAAACAAATTCCTTGGTGTATCTGCAGGTAAGTCCCTGCACCACAGGTACCTCATATTTTTATTGGCAGACCATTTTACAAGTACCTGCTGCAATAATGCACCCCAAAATGGAGATGCATATATATTCCTGCATAAGATTAAAACAATAACTAGTTCCCAGCAAGGACATACATGCAGGTATGTGAAAGCAGAGCTGAGCAGTGGCAGTGTGCAGCCATTTATTAAGTCAGCACATAAATGCAGAATGCGCTGCTGGAAATCACTTTTGCTCAAGGTCACTGGTGAAGTTGTTTAATGTAATTAATTCAGGAGCATTCAGAATAATAAAAATTGGCATAAGCATTCATTCAGCTGAAGGACAACAGGAAGCCAAGGACCGTGTATCAGCCATAAACAAAAACACTAGAGCTGGCATTAGCTGAGCTGGAGAGGGTTAAACCAGCCTGTGCTGACTCACTGGGCAGCTTTGCCATCATCCCTCCAAACAGGAGGAGGAGAAATGGCCCCTCGAAGTCAGGACTCAAAAATAAAAAAAAAAAAGGAAGAAATGAAGTTTAGTGTCAGCTGTTTTCATTTTAGTAAAACAGCACATCTTCCCCCTTGGAATCCAATGTGACAACATTTAGGAAGGATCTCAGTCCACCCCCAAGAAATAGAGTGAAAAAGCCCCTCATGTTAGACAGAAGGCTCAGCAATCCCATCCTGTTCTTCCCTTCCCAAGGAGCACACTGACCGTGGCAGCAGGAGAAGGGAAGAACAGCAGCCAGGGGAGGATCAAACACCCCAGAACCAATTTCAGGCCCAACAAACCAGATTTAATCATTTTGGGCACATATTATTCCAAACAGCGTGTGACCTATTTTAGGCCTCACTCTGAGCTGCCTATAATTAACTGTAATTTGTACAGATTTCAATTTAATACATGAACTGGCTTGCTTAAAATAAAAAAATTAAAGCAGGGCAATTTCTAAATTTAAAAAAAGTCAGAAACCCATTTTTAAGTTGAAATAGCAGACAAAAATACATTGGGTATCAGGGCTATATAATATTCTTTCCAACACAACTCCAAGGTAAATATTTTAGAGGCTTTTATGCTGTCTCAAACTTAGCACAAGGACGAAATGGGATTTTGTAGTCTGAAAAACTCAACTTCCCCTTTAATAAAAATGCACCTTTTAGCATTTGTTTTCTTAGCAATGGAGACTTATATTTCACAATTTGTTTGGGTTTTTTTTGCTTGACAAACCACAGTTCTGCGTAGGTTCAAATGAGATCCCCAACCCCCATGAGATGTCCTTATTTCCAATATCCCATTCTTTTCTCTCCTATTTCCTTACTGAAGAAAACACAACCATTTCCAGGCTCCCCTTCCATTGCCACCCCCAGTGTCACATCAAATCCCAAGAGTGAAGATAAAGAGAAGAAAGCTCTGTTTCAGAAACTCACGTGGACATTCCCTTAGGGAAAAAAACCACAAAAATAAATTCTTCCTCATTTATATCCAGGCCTTTCTTTTCCTTTCCCTCCCAGACACTCCTATCTGTGCTACAGAATTTTCTCTGCCCATGAAGGTGAGTTATCAGCAAATCCCTTTACAGACAACATGGCAGAAAAAAGCAGAACTCTGCAAGGCTTTGAATCAGCCCTTGACACACTGTCCAATTCCAAATGGATAAATCTTTGTGCCCTGCACCTCCCATTTGTTACTTAAATTGCATTTCTGTGCTTTGCATCCCTCCTTTGTTTGCAACTTTTATTTCTCTGGTAACTCTGGAACAGGCAGCACTTTGTGGAGCAAAGATGAATAAACCCAAGAAATCTTTTGTAAGGGAGGAAAACAAAACCAACCTCCCAGTGCCCTTATCTGTATCAGCACCTGCCCAAAACCACCCTCTGGATTTGTGTCCAGCACATCCCTCCCATGGAAACCCCCAGTGAATCCAGGGCCAGGCTGCTGCCAAAGTTTGAGAGCCTGCCCGGCAGCTGAGCTGCAGCGGCGGCAGCTGGCAAGCAGGGCTCTGGTTCTGCAGTGCTCTCTGGTACCAGGAGAGACAGGAGGGGTGGAAAGAGTGCTGGAAATGGAATTCAGAAGTGGTAGATGAGGTGACACTCAAGAAGAGGAGATGCAACCAAAGCAATGACACACTTCTGCCCTGACACACTTCAGAGAACGGAACTTCAAGTGGACAGAGCACAAACCGTCACTGATGATGTAAAAACATCAGAGTTAGGAGCACTTGGAAGTATTAACTTACC